AAAGGTCAGTTGTCACAACCCGTCCTATAAGACCATTACCCTAGCCACTAACGTTCACCCTGCCGAGAAAAGCAACTCCAACAAGTCCCAGCCATCGTCAGTCCAGAGAGACCCGTGTGTGTTTTGCTCTGGAAATCATACTATCAAGCAATGTTTCAAATTTGCTAGAATGAATTACAGCGATAGGAAAATTTTTGTGTCGGAAAACAAACTGTGTTTCAATTGTCTTCAGTCCAACCCTCCACACACGGCGAGAACGTGTCAATGGAAACAATTGTGTCAAGTCCCTGGATGTGGCAAGCGACATCACGCGTTACTACACCCACCCTGTGTACCTGCCAACAGCCCCGCACTGCAACGTGAGCCTGGTGCCAACGCTACGTCTATTGTTACTGACCCCGTAGTTGCAGTCCAGAGTGCAGCGGTAGCGACAGGAAGAAGAATCAGTCTACAGATTGTCCCAGTGACAGTGAGCGGCGGCAATGGTGGACCGATTATTGAAACTTATGCATTTTTAGATAATGGATCTGATCACAGTTTATGTTTACACAGTTTAGCTGAAAAGTTAGGTGCCAGAGGGAAACCTATCCAGTACAGTGTCAGTACAGTTAACGATGAAAGTTGCGTGAACCAAGGACAAGAAGTACAGCTAGAAGTGAAAGCTATCAATAGCCAGCAAGGATTGATTCTAGATCAAGTTTGGATGACCGACAGACTACCCATCTGTGAAAAGAACATTCCAAATAACTCCGACATTTCAGAGTGGAGCCATTTGAAAGATGTACGACTACCGGAGCTAGATGACAAAACAGTTACCATTCTCATCGGTAATGATCACCCTGAAGCTCATTGGCGCATAGAAGAGAGACGAGGCGATAAGAAACAACCGTACGCGATCCGAACGATTTTAGGATGGACTATATTAGGTCCCATGAAAAGACCAAATGATGGTGACGTCACGGTTAATTTCATTCATGCAGACCAGGTACTCGGATGTGATAATTCTCTGAGAGGCTGCGATTCCATTTCTACCCAGCTAAGCAAGATTTACAACAGTGAATTCAGTGAGTCTTCAGTTAGCAGCAGCCAATGCATGTCATTAGAAGATAAGAAAGCGAAGAGGATCATGGATGAGTCCGTGGTATTTGTTGACGGACATTACCAAGTTTCCCTTCCTTGGAAGTCAGACGAGCTCTTACCCAATAACAAGCTAGCAGCTGAAAAGCGATTGAATCTACTCAAAAGACGTCTACAGCGTGACGAAAACCTACGTGAGAAGTATACTCAAGCTCTTCAGGAGTATATTGATAAAGGACACGCTCAGAAGATTGACCACAGAAATCTGCATAACAACAGCAATTCTGTTTGGTACTTACCTCATCACCCTGTGATCAATTCAAAGAAGTCCAAAATTAGAGTTGTCTTCGATTGTGCAGCGAAATATGCAGGCGTTTCGCTGAATGATTCCTTGTTACAGGGTCCGGATTTAACCAATTCACTCATTGGAGTTCTCCTTAGATTCCGCCAGGAGAAGATAGCCATTGTTGCTGATATTGAGCAAATGTATCATCAAGTGAGAGTGCACCCTGATGATCGTGATGCCTTACGATTCCTATGGTGGCCGGCAGGAGATCTCAGCAAACAACCAGAAGAATACCAAATGTTAGTCCACGTGTTTGGTGCTACTTCCTCTGCAAGTTGTACAGTCTACGCTCTTCTCAAAAATGCAGAAAATCATGGAAAGGACTTTGATTTCCAGACCGTTGAAACTGTCTACAGAAACTTCTATGTTGACGATTGCTTAAAGTCTGTAGAGACCGTTGATGAAGCTAAGATGATGGTTACTCAACTCACCTCATTACTGCAGAAAGGTGGATTTCATCTGACCAAGTGGATATCGAACCAGGAGGAAGTTCTATCCAGTGTGCCCACTGCAGAGCAAGCACCGTCGGTCAGAAATGTAAACTTTGACAAACAGCCGATAGAACATGCGTTAGGCGTACAGTGGAACATAGAAAAGGATACATTTGGATACTGCGTCCGTGTGAGAGATGTAAAGAATACCCGCAGAGGTATTTTGTCATTTATTGCATCGATATATGATCCACTGGGTTTTGCAGCGCCACTTATTCTCAAACCTAAACAGATACTCCAAGAATTGTGTCGGGAAGGCATTGCGTGGGACAGTGACTTACCTGCAGAGCATCTTAATGCATGGACACAGTGGAGAGAAGGATTGGACAATTTACAAACAATTGAAGTCCCAAGATGCTACAAATCAGCTCAATTAGCAGATATTCAGTCCATTGAACTTTACCATTTTTCAGATGCCTCGTTATCCGGCTACGGCATTGTTTCCTACTTGCGATTTGTTGATATTAACCAGCAAGTATCTTGCAACATTGTCATGGGGAAATCACGTGTAGCGCCTCTGAAAACAGTGACTGTTCCTCGAATGGAGCTAACAGCTGCTACATTGTCTGCGAAAGTTCACAAACAAATGATGGAGGAGCTACAACTGCCCATTCATCGTGTTGTTTTCTGGACAGATTCTACGATTGTGCTCCAGTACATTCGGAATTCCGCGACCAGATTCCATGTTTTTATTGCCAATCGTCTACAAATGATATATGATATTTCATCCCCATCGCAGTGGTATCATGTTGATTCAGATCAGAACCCGGCAGATTACGCTTCCAGAGGAATACAGCTCAGAAGTGATAACGGTGATGACATACAGCGTTGGTTACATGGCCCAGCTTTCTTGTACCAGCCCGAGATACACTGGCCGAAACAACCAGATAATCTACATGAAATTTCAGAAAATGACAGAGAAGTGAAACGTAAATCAGCTCAGGTACATGTCACTACGTCGTCGGAAGTATTTGACGGTGTAGAGCGATTGTTACATCATTTCTCATCGTGGTATACTTTACAGAAATCAGTTGCCTGGATTTTGCGTTTTAAACGCTACTTACTGTCCCGCGTGAGACAATTGACAGTAGATAGAAACAATGGACCATTAACAGTACAGGAAATCGCGCTTGCTACTGATGCCATTGTGATGTATGTACAAGCAAAATCATTTCCCAAAGAGTGTAACGTTGTATCATCTGCAATGAAAAAAAAAAACCCGATTCCAAAGGATATGTGAGCCCATTGCGCAAGCTATCTCCGATCAAAATTGAAGGGATTCTTTGTGTANCACAAACATACTTAGGTATACATATAGGAAAGTCAACGTCCACGTCTTGGGCAATGTATGTAGGTACACATTCATACTTACGCAAAGGCAATAAAAGCTATATGTGTGGCGTAGGTAAAAGTTCCAAGAATGCAGTGGAACGCCATGGCGGTAAACTGCATCTCCAGCACCGGTATCACGCAGGAGACCCATACAAGTAACCCTGCAGTGCTAGTTACTAGGAACGAGAACAGGAACGCTTTCGGCTCGGCTAGAAAAAAGGAAGGTATTTTACACATCAGGATAATGTTTAAAATTTAAAAATGATTTTTTTTTTTTTTGCTTATCTGAATATTTTCAGGTGAATCCATTGAAATTCCACATGTAGCAAAACAGAATGACTTACGAGTTTCTGACTATTTGCCCTGAGGTAAGTTATCTATGGAAAAAATATCCAGATTGTCATTTTAAATGGACTACTTTGTGTACAGCCTCTAGGTGTCCAACGGTGTTTCTACTGGGCGAAAACCTATTTGGCATAAGTCTAGACCGACCTGTTTCCAGTTCCACAATTGAAATTAAAAATGCGTATGCTTTTACCGTCTTAAGGTCGCCTTTTGCATCCGACTCAAGCATTCGTGCTCGAATTTCTCATAGTCAATTTTAATGTTATGTCGGTTAGCATGCCCGTATGGGTAAAAACTGTAATTAGGCAAATCTATATAAAATTTGCTGCCTTCTTTATTGGAATGATTGCATATCAGAAATGATCTAGAATTATAACGTTTACCCGTTACAAGTATGCACTTACCCTCTTTGGCGACACTACTTTGTTTTCGACTGGAACGCTCAATAAGAAACCCTGTTAATAACGCCAATGGTATGCCTCCTGCCAGTTGCAGATAGCCAAACACATCTGTGTACAGACTGACTGGAATACAACAGGACAATGGTAGCTATCCTTTTTCCGATATGATCAGTGTGCTGTCAAGCATGAAGCTTGATTTACATTTAAAAAAAAAACGATAGTAAGTAATTGGCTGTACTTCTCAAAGGAGGAAATGTGTAATTGCTCCAAACTAGCGGCTTTTTTGCGTAATCGAGATTCCCACTGAGTTCATCAAAAGATTTAGATCTAGTTCAGTTCATTCTACAAAAAGTTTTTCGTTTCTCAGTCTTCGAACCCTACCATTAAATACCCCCCCAAACTACTGTTGCCCCATTTTTTTTACCAACTTACTTGTCCGGTGGCTTTCCCCAGTGTTCCTGAACACGACCATCGCATTGAAACCGCCAAAATATGCCACTCCCAGCAGTACATTACACACGAACCAGATTTCAGTCATCCAAAATATGGGTGTAAGGTTTAGTTTACTTTTGTTGTGATTGAGGAGCCTGGTGTCCAGCTCATCTAATGCATTCATTTGCATAAATGACAACTTTTCATGCAGGGTGGTACCCCATGAGTTTTGCACTTTATTTCATTCATCACAGTGTCTCCGTAGGAGGAACACATAGTACTCTTACTTTTGAATCCGTTATTTCTACTTGAAATTTATAGTTTAAAGGAATGGCAGAAATGGTGAGTTTTAATACTATTTATTGATTATTATTGATTATTGATGATTGGTTATTTATTATTGGTAATTATTGAAATGTATAAGTTTTTTGAGTAAGTAAATTTGAACACGTAAATAATCCTTAGTAAGTACATTGTTGTAATTTTCTTTTTCTCTTCTTCTTTTTTAGTTTTTACGTGTCTTGTGAATCCAAGTGAATAAACCAAGATCCAGTGAAAAACACATGCCTTTTCTTTGACTTTTATTTAACCTGTATAACCCCTGCGTGTTATANAGTGTGCTGTCAAGCATGAAGCTTGATTTACATTTAAAAAAAAAACGATAGTAAGTAATTGGCTGTACTTCTCAAAGGAGGAAATGTGTAATTGCTCCAAACTAGCGGCTTTTTTGCGTAATCGAGATTCCCACTGAGTTCATCAAAAGATTTAGATCTAGTTCAGTTCATTCTACAAAAAGTTTTTCGTTTCTCAGTCTTCGAACCCTACCATTAAATACCCCCCCAAACTACTGTTGCCCCATTTTTTTTACCAACTTACTTGTCCGGTGGCTTTCCCCAGTGTTCCTGAACACGACCATCGCATTGAAACCGCCAAAATATGCCACTCCTAGCAGTACATTACACACGAACCAGATTTCAGTCATCCAAAATATGGGGCTGCGTAAGATGTCTCCGAACGTCTTTGTGTGTCCTGTCCTATCTGCAGGTGAAGACACGGCAACCGCTTCCAGGGACGCAAAGCTATCTTTTGACAGCAACTCCACAGTGCTGTTTTGTCTTGCTAACTCGCCAATGATTGTTGATCCTTCTCCTTTCTCAGTAATTTCGCCATTTGATTCGGTTTTTTTATTATCTGCAACACCGTCATGAATCCCGCTAGCTTTCGTCTCTTCGTGATTTTTACACGTAAGTGCAACGACGAAAACGGGACCATTCCTGTCGATGGTGTGTTTTTTATGGTCTGCTAATGAACTTGGTACATAATCCAATTCCTTCTGAAGTTTTTCCTTGTCATTGTCCCTTCCTTTCTTCTCTCTTGGAGGAAGGACAATCGTCGTGACCGTGCTAATAACAAACGAGACACCGGCAAGACAGAGTAAAGACGCCTTGTGAGATATGTGATTATCATAAGCGATCTGAAAAATTACAATGAAGGTACTTGTTATTTCCATCATTTTATTTGAATGAAGTTGTGTAAGCCAAATTATGCCATCTTGCCTATAGCCGTGTGATTCTCACATCCAAATGTAGCAAGTGTGTGTCCGTGGTGGACACTTCCTGGACTTTTTACCTTCACTGTTCAAACTGTGTATTCAGATATTATGCACGCTTTTCAAAAATCTCGAATATTGAAATTTACACATTCAAAACAATGCGTAAATTAGGCGAAATAATAGCAACATCTGTATCAAAAACCACTTTTCAAATGGCTCGAGTTGAGAGAAATCAGTGGACTCACCTTGACTAGTACAAAGGTAAACGTGCTCATGCCACATACCCCAGACATCAGGGTCCCCAGGGTATTCTTTCTGGAGGGAAACAACTGGGGCATCTGCATCCCAGTTACAGTGTACATGTTACCCCCCAGAAGGTGGAAGGCGGCCCCCGGAAATAACAGCCACTCAGTGCCTGGAAAATATTAATAAATAAATAAAAACTGGTAAGTATGACACAGAGTAAATGAATAATTGAATAATTGATAAATTTACTGAAGGGAACATGTACGAGCTGTCACAGTCTTAAATTGTTCTTATTTACTTCACAGATAACCTATTTTAATACTCGACACAATGGGTCCTTTGTAAGTAAAAGATTACGATTACTGTTCAAATATTTTTTTCAGCATAGAGAAGAGGTCAGAGTGTGTAAGATATCGTTCTCTCTGCTTATGCCAAGAGACGACCGCTTTTAAGACGTGTAGGCCTATACAAAAGGCTGATTCAGTTTGGAGTGATTGTGACGGGAGGTACCAGGAAAATAGAAGTCTACCAGTAAAGGTGGCCAGAGAAAGCGCTGAGTTACCATAAACAGATCCTTTGACTGAAAATGTTACGCATTTTTGTCGTGTAAGCTTTATTCGACACAAAAGCGACAATTTGCCGTGCTCTTTATTACCTCCGCCAAGGAGGTTATGTTTTCACCCCTGTTTGTCTGTCTATCTGTTTGTTTGTCATCAACATAACTCAAAAAATTATGGACTGATTTTGATGACATTTTCAGGGTAGGTGGGAAATGGGTTCACTTAGAAGTGATTAGTTGTTGGTGGTGATCCGGATCAATAATCAATCAATAATCAATAATAATAAAAAATCGCTGCCTTGGCGGAGGTCTGCGCTCTCGGAGTGCTTTTCTAGTTGGGAGTTTGTTTCAAATGCCACCAAATAGTTTCAAATAATATCATGTGTAGAAATACCATTAGGCATAGATTCATATTTCCCGAAAATGATATTTTTAAAAACGGATATTTCCTGATCTCTTTCTGTGCTATATATCCCTTAGCGGCATCATTTGAATATGTATATGTAGTATGGAACTGCGCACGCAGCTGCATCCATGCATGGGAGAGAGTGATCGTTATGCAATGCATGCGTAGTATTACGTCATTTATAGGATTTTTATGAACTGGAAGGGCTGTTAAATAGGTCAGTTTCCAACAAGAAATTTGAAGAAGGGGCACTTCTTAACCTATTTCTTGAAAGAACGAAGGATTAGTTTGGTTTATGACTTGGCATGTTGGCTTCAGATAAGTCGTGAAAGAAACTAGTAGAAGTGGTTCACTGGTATGTTCGTTACTGGAATCAACGCTCGCTTTATATGTAACTTTAAAGGAGTTAAACATGAATTACAGGGTAATTTTTAAGTTTTTTTCATATGAGGATCTGAACTGTTTTACGGGTCCAAGACTAATTGTTCCTATTTACCTCTCTGAGCGAATGCCATTAAAACTGCTCCACCAACGTTTAATATCCTGCAAATAAATTAATAATAAAGTTAATTTAGGTTGAATAATAATACTTGATTTAAGCCTGGAAATTTTATATTTCCATCCAGGGATTAACTGTTGTAATCTACTAAAATAAAATAACTAGCGGACTAAAAAATTGTAGTTGCTTCATCTTCTTTTCGTAATAGCTTGACGTAAATACACGAGTAGCTAACATTGTTAGTAGGGATCTGGTGACAGATTCGATAGGTTTTAATGTTAAATAATAAGGACTTCATTTCACTCATGTATTCGGTCTTGTTTCAAGAATAACGGTATGTTCAGAAAATGATCAAGCTCGCTCTTGTTACACATGCACAGTACGTAGGCCACTAATACATCTGCCTTACTTTATCATTTTATCGGGCTGTCAGATTTAAATGTATTCATTTACTTGCCACAATAACTTTTTTTGATTCAGTGAATAAAAAACATGATCACTTTTCCCCATTTAGCACGAGTATTACGAATGAGGTTTTGAGGAAAACCGGCCGATGTCCTTCGGCATTTTTGGCACAATGCGCACCTGCTACGCATACACTTGTAACAAATCGCCACTTCAAATTTCTTAAGATAAATTACGAGGAAAAATAGATACCACAGTACAGAATATTGCATGGCGTGTAGTATAAGATGCTCATGGATTGTGCAATACACTTGTTATCGTAAAGATATATACCATGTTAGGCAATATTAACCTAAAAATGCCATTGTATGAATCTGAACGTCATGATAGTATTATGTTATGTTCAAGGATTATATGTTTTTAAATAAAGTGTGGTCATTTTACTGATAGCATAATATCAGCATTTGGGATTTAATTGCCATTTTTAAATTCTTAATATTCTCTTTTACTTGCGCACTTGTAAGAAAAATCCCTACGTCAAGTGGGAGCTGTGCACGAATAAGTTTAATCATTAAACACAAATTGGAAAACATAAAGGGGAACTCTCTCAGTTACGTAACACACTTGTGCGCAAAATCACTGGCAATTGCTGATTGCTATTTTTGTTATTGGATTTTGCTCGAAAACCGCTTCCAGGTATTACATAAGTAAAAACAGCAGTCTGCACTTTCGACGGCCTTCACAGCAACCNATGTGTGTGTGTGTGTGAGAGAGAGAGAGAGAGTGAGAGAAAGAGAGAGAGGGGCTAGCTCTGAAATTATTCATACATATTGCATCAGAAAAAAGCTAACAGTAACAATATGTCACACACTTATTTACGACCAAACATTGATTTTCGTTCAATTAGCATTTGATCTGACTCCTTACATATAGTCGGAGGCGTAGCGCGTTGGGATTAAATGCGTTATTAAATACGTTGTAGTTAAATGCCACCTTCTGCGATGGGACCTTATCTTCGATAAAGCAAACAGATGACACGCTCCTACAGATAACCCATCCGTTACGCCACACAGTACACTGCAGAAAGGTCACTGGAAGACAGATTGTGGTTAAGGTAAGACTCAGAACCTCTCTTCTACAGAAAAGTAAAAAAAGAACGTCAATTTTGTATCACAATCATGGTTTGGTCATTTGGTATCCCTTTTAACTGTTGACGTGTCATGGCAATACCATGTAGGCGCCCAATGATAGAGATCTTGCAAAGCTATTAGGTTGCTGCTTACTTGAACGAGGAATTTTAATCTTACATAAATTATGTTTTGTAAGGAAACTCTATCAGAATTTGTCAACTGATTATTTTAGAATTTCTTTGCATGTGAGACATATTTTTTCAGTCGCTGAAGCAGACAACATTCTAATACGAATGACGAAAGCAAACATGCTTATAATTGCAAACACATTTGTTACAAATATTATGAACTTATACACTTAAAGTTTAACAAAATAGTGTTAAAATACATAGGTCGTGTACATTATTTATAAGTCGGTTGTCGTATGTCAGCAAGGATGTAAGAACTGGATTGTACCTTTTAAAACAAGGATTTAGCTATTTTTCAAAAATCTGTTTGTCGCTCTATTCTCCCTGTGTCAACGATGACAGGAAAATCACTTGGTTTGGGGCCAAACGTTACGCAAACAGTCTAGAAAGATATAAATCGATGTTGATAAAGTCGCTCTTGTCAGTTGGATGGTATATTGACGTTTAGGAGCCATCTATGAGTAAATATGGTTACTGATTAATATGTACATACGTGCAAATCGTTAACTCAGTTGAAATTTAGTTCGGTGTGCGTGAGAGATTGCACATAGGTAGTTTTTCCTTGGTGAACAAAATACAAAAGAGGATGATTTGTTGAAACGAGAGAAGATTAGGTACTGGAAGCTGTTCATTCACCAATTTTTCTAACTGTCACATGTAGATTATAATTTAGTTGTGAGAGTTAAAACAATAATGTTTAGATATACATACATTTCTGGACATGCTTTGTTTTAATACATTGATAGAGATACTAGTAAGAGATTTAAAAGGATACATTTAAATGGTTGCAATCATATCAAAAATGAAAAAAAAATACTGTTCATTTTGAAAAGGAAGACATTCTTAATTTTAAGTAAAATATAAAGTTATAAATTGTCTTTTGGCTTACACTTCGATCAGATATATCTCAACTGCTTACTTATGTTGTGTTTCCGGTGTGTTTAGAATTCTGGTCTGATCACGAGGAAATGAAAAATCTAACCAAGCCCATGCAAGCAGATCAGATTCCTGATCTAGTCTAGACCGGTTCAGAACAGGATTGGATTCTTATCTTTCCTGTTACATAGACGTTCATCTACGCAACCCTGTTCATTCTAATTGTGACAGCCAATACCCATCAGTGTGTAACGTCAAAAGTTTCATATGTGACTTTTCTTTTCTTACAGATGCAGACCATTCTTCTGGTGCTGTTGGTTGGTGTTGGCCTTGCCCTTGGTGCCAAGACCACCCAGGCGCCTAGGGTTATCACTGACCAGAGCCAGCAAAATGAAATAGACGACCTGAAGAGAATCGTAAGCACTTTGGGAAGGCAGCTTATGATGCAGCAGTTATTTGTAGAAGAGAGAGTGAGGTCCGACGGGGCGTCGGGACTTAAGCAAATACGGCTGCAAGAAATTGGTGAGTTAAAACGTCTACCGGTACACTGTTAATTAAGTCTCTCTCTCCAGGTGCAATCACCGATCAGGTGTTTCACTTACGTTGATATTTTGCCAAAAGTTTCTGAATCTTGCCATTAACTAGAGGCGTCTTGCGGGAATTTCAGAATTGTCATTGATCGCATTTCATTGTCAGTTCCTAGGCATTGCCCATGATGTTCTTCTTACCACAAACGTACAACGTTCTCTTAGACCCTTCTTTTACATAGAGAGGTATACCTAAGCGATATTGTCTGTATCGGTGCACTTTCAGAGAAATTAAATGTGTTTTTACGTAAGAGAGCCACCTTACA